TGATTGCAGCTGTATACATTCTCGGAAGTGTAAGTGTGAGTGTGCCCTCAGTGAGGGCATCTCAGCCCCGTGGCCAGGTTGTCAGATTTCAGAAACTCAAAAAAAAAAAAAAAGGGACAAACATGGATTCACCCGTGAAAATGGCAAGATACATTCCTGAAGTGCCAGTGTGATCAGGGTTACAATCCTCTGAGGGAACACAGCTCGAGTAGATCACGGATTCAGATTGTTAGAGTCCAGAAAATGAAAACAAGAAAAAAAAAAACGAAAACATGGATTCGGCCTTGAAAACGGCTGGATACATCAGTGTTACAATCATCTGAGGAAACAATACTAGAGCAGATCACGGATTCCGCCCTGCCTCGTTGGCAKGGTACTCATAACAAACAAATACAAAAGAAAAAAGAAAAAAAAACAAGTTTGAGAACGTGACCGTCGTTGCTGTAAGATGCATGCAAGACTGTGAGGCTGTGTGAGCAGGTCTACTAGACATCCCTGCCCGACATCATTGCAGTACAAAGGCCCGTTTTTTTTCCTTTCCCTTTTGTGCACGGGCAAAAAAAAAAAAAAAAGACTTTTGGGACATTGCCGACCCTCTGTCCGACCCCCGAAAACTTCGGGTACTGGCCAGTATCTCGTAATTTCCCAACACTGGGGAAGGTACTGGTGGAACACTAATCCATTGAAGTACAAAAACTAAAGCTGTATATACATCATCAAACAGAACAGCCTTTGTAGAATATGTCAAGCATCCTTTTGTCGCTTTCTGGAGGCCGCGGCTGCCAGGGCTGCAACTGGGGTCTTCCCAGACTGGGAACCTTTCAGACTGAGATCCAGGGGCCGTGCCTCTGTAACTAACGAAGAGGCAGGGCCTACTGGTAAGTTGGAGAGCCTTCACCCAGCCTGCCTTCCCAGCTGTATCACGCCAGCCTTCACTCCGGGTTGGCAGATTTTTCTTCTGCTGCAGACTTCACTCAGGGCCAGGCGTAATTTTTCTGGGTGGCCCCTTGTGGAGGCCTGCCGAGCCCTAAGCCGCACATTTTGGTTGATTTTTTTTTATTATTATTATTTTTTTATTGTTATTTTTTTATTATTATTTTTTTAAACAGGTCCTTATGGGCCTGGCTCCTTTTCCATTCTGGGGAGCGTCAGTCCGGTTCCTATTCCCCCGGCAAGTCAAGATTGAGTACAATATGAGAAAAAACATCCTCACGCTTCCTTCCATCTGGCTGAAGGACCCCTGACCAGCATTGATTGCTCCCTTGGGGGAGGATTGACTGTCAGCTTGCCCTAACAACTTGCTCCTCTCAGGTTCCCTTCTTGGGCCTGTCAAATAGACCTATTCAAAGCAAGAGAAAGTGTTAGGAACTGCCTCCAGTGCAAAATCTACAGCTCTTTCCTCTCCCAATTCATGCCTGATACCCATGTTGCTCAGCAAAGGACATTGTTGTCTGTGTCGGGGCTACTCCATTGGTCGTGAGGTATCTTGGTCCTCTCCTATCCCCTCACGAGTTGTGCCATTCCTTCCATCGTAGATAAGAATTCTTTATCTCTGCAACTTTTCCTTCAACCAGCCAGGTCTTGGTGAACTTCAACTGTGCGGCGCACTGTTGCTCATCATCGTCTGGTAGGGACAGTCTTGCCTTGTGCCACTTGCATAAAATCTGTGCTTGAATCAAATCCTTAGTTTCCGCCCAGACTTTTTCCCTCGAGTTTGACGCACCCTCAATGGTCCTGCCACATCTTTCCTTCCAGATGGTCCATAGTGTTGCCATCCTGATCATTCCGAACCAGATCCTCTGTCTTGTTCAACTGTGTAGGGATGTTTAGTCCAAATATGTTTCCCTAGTAGATTGGCATTTACTGGCCACTGCGTCTGTTTTCAGAATTCTTCACCGAAGAACATGAGCAGCCAGTAGGCCAACCCTTTCTGCGTGGAGATACTAGTTCGACATCAGGGGTGGTGATAGTTTAATGTGTTGATTGAGTAATCTGCCATGTTGGCTGGAGGTTACAACATACTAGTTCATTTCTTCATGGTTGAACTTGGACTGTGGAAATGTAAAATGGAAACAGAAGATAGTAACGATATCTGAGGAAGGAATTTAACCCAGCGACAATGATGGGCAAAGAGACTGAGGGTCAATTTTGGAGACCTTCATTGCAAAGAGCGGCACCCTCAGCTTCAGAGCTTGGTTTTCTGTGGAGGACATGTTCACACCTTTCTCATGGCAGAAGAGGGGTACAGAATACAGAGAAACACGGATGTAGTAACTGTTTTCAGTACACAGAGTAATGGACGTATCTATGTTTGCGGATTAATGACTGGTGATTGAACTCAATGCACACTATGTCAGTTAACCGAGTGGCAGTAAGTGGATTCATTCATCCATTTCATGCTGCACATTAAAGCGCCTATTACAACCGTTGGTTAACAGTGTTTAAAACACCACTGCATTATGTTGGTTCATTGTGTTGGAAAGTGCAACCATTGTAATGTGATTTGAGGTGTTGGGATCGCTGCATTATGTCTGTTCATTGTGTTGCTTTTGATCTGTGTCGATGTGATTGAACTCCTGCAGGGATTGTATAAGGTGCATTGTGTTGTTGAATCTGCCAAGTTATGCTGGAGGTCTGAACCCTTGGGGCAGGCCTACTGGTCCGAAGGTGAAGGAGGTGAGGACCAAGTGTGTTTATTAAGATTCGTGATTATTATCTCCTGACGTTTTTGTTTTAAGTTCAGATATCAATGTCATACAGTGAGTGACCTTGTCCGTCATCTTCAGTCGGTGGTCAACCAGGAAGTCCTTTTGACTCGGTGGTCAAAACTTTTTGACTTGGTGGTCAACCTGGATGTATGGTCAGTTTGACTATCTCATCTCGATTGTGTGGTCAACCTGTAATCTCCTTTGACTTGATTGTCAACCTTGAAGTCTCTTTAACATGTGGTCAACCTCGAAGGCGTGCACTTGGTAATCAACCTGGGGTCCTGGAGGTCCATTTTTACTTGATGGTCAACCTGGAATGTGGTTTGACTTTCTCACCTTTGCTTAGTGGTCAGGTGTGCACTTGGTAATCAACCTGGAGGTCTTTTTTACTTGCTGGTCAACGTGGAATGCGGTTTGACTTTCTCACCTTTGCTTAGTGGTCAACTTAGAAGCCTTAACTAGGTGGTCAACCTGGAAGTCTTTTAACTTGGTGGTCAACTGAGAGTCGTGAGGAGTTTGCCCTGAATACACCCAAAGGTGTGCGGTACACTTGGACAAGGGCTTTAAGGCCTGAATCTTGTTTTTTTTTTTGTTTTTAATTATCCTAGCATGAGTATAGTTGCCATAGGCCAACGCCGGGGCCATCATCTCTTCCCCTTTTAAGTGTACTTTTAGCTATTTTTTTCTTCTAAATTGTAACCCTTAATATTATGCACATCAGACCATGCCCAATGTTCCCTACTCTCTTCCTCCGAACAGCACACACCCTAAACACGACTATTAGCAGCATGACATCGACTGTATACATTCATGGTTACTACTGTATTCCCCCTTATAGAACATAGCCCGCTATTGCTGTTTCTAGACTGTTTCTCCAAATACAGCCAAGGTGAGCGTATGTTCTGTTGGAGGCAAGACCATAGTACTGCCGCTGCATGCTGTCTGGTACACAGAACATATTGCATAAGGTATTGGTACAACGGTACTACAACCGTCTCCATCAGGATAAAACACATTGTTGTATCTAGACTGACGGCTGCCCCAAATATTGCACAGAGTGCATACTACATAGGACATTGTATTAGTATTGCTACTGCACTCTGTCTGGGTGCGCACTACGCACTACATGGTGTATTTTTCATACTGCATGGTAGTGGTACTTCCATTGCATTTTTGTCTCATAACTGTTAGTGGTACATAATACATGATACGTAGTACGAAGTACTACAAACATATATTTTGCATACTATGAAAAGTATGATAATACATAGTATATAGTATATACTATATACTAAGTATAATATGAACAAGCATAATTATCATATGATGTTTACATAGTACATAATGTATTACTATTAATATAATTGCATTCAGACTCAACTCTTTCACACTTTTCATGCACGTGAACAGCAGCATAACAAACTGGCGACATGCGCCCACACAGTACACAGAGATGTGGCTTCCAGGTAAGTTCACTTCCACTGGCTATGGCAACTGAGCGCCCAACATCCACTGTTAACACGCTGGATCACCCTGGATATCCCACACTCGACACTCTGCACGCTCACATCCCGCACACACACACTACTATAGCTATGGCAGCGCTAGCTGCCATTACCCTATCGCTATACTACACTTCTCTGCCCTCTTCGACTTTGGGCACACTGCAGACCTCCTCGCACAAGCAGCTGAGGCAGCGCTTCCGCATGGCTTCCGCAGGAATGAATGAATGGCTGGGCGCAGCCTCTTGATTTATACTTCTGTGATGCGTTGGTCTGCCCTGTATCCCTTGGCCCATGGTGCACACAGTCCCAGACGGTACTTGCTGGACTGGACCGGACTGGGTGGACTGGGACTGCTGACTGCGCAAGGTGGACTTCCACCACTTGCCTCTGCCTAACGTAGGCTGACTCCGAAAGGCCACTTCTAGAAACCTCTACTTTGGCCTTTTGGGACTGTAGCAGCTACGACTCTGCCCTTTCACGTAAGTAGCAGCTACGACTTTGACCTTTCGGACAGTCTACAGCTAAGACTTCTAGACTACCTAGACTCCTTCCCGACAGGTCTACAGTTCGACTCCCTTCTACCCTGTAACCTACGAGATCTTACCTACCACTGGCGGTCCTATAGGTCGCAGGTTCAAATCTACGGGTTGACACAGTTACTGTACACAGGTAAGGCAGGGAACTAGGGATCGAGCCCTGGAATCTGCAGCAGCTACTGTGAAGTGGTGAATACCGTTTCATAATATACACCAAGGAATAAGTACAATCTTCATATACTAAGTAGATTCTTCATAGTACATACTACATAGTACATACTAAATATAACAGCGCTCACAAGCTGCCTTTTCCCCGTGCTTTATATTATTACATAATACATGGTATCCAATTATGTTCTTCATTCTATATAGTACATACTAAGTATAACAGCGCTCGCAAGCCGCCTCAGCCCCATGCTTACTACATAGTACATAATGCATAGCACATACTACATAGCACATACTACATAGGACACACTACATTGTATTTGTCATACGACACGGTACCCATACTGCTATTTCTCAGACTACATGGCACTCGTACTGCTATTTTCCGTGCTACATGGTAACTACTGCTGTTTTTCACACTCTACATGCCACTGTGTTATGAACGTGATTGTCTGTTGAAATTTTGTCAACGCTCACTCGCTGGAACTCCCGTACACGCCCATACATGCACAGAAGGAAGGGGAGAGGTAGTGGAGGGTCACACCGCTCAGAAAAGAAACGCAGCGGAAGACTCAGAGAAGCGAAGT